GCACCACTTGGAGCAAAGCATGAGTGAGGGATGTGGATATTTTCCATTTCAGTGTCTTGTATCTTTTCTTCTCTGCTTCACTAGGAGGCCTCCCAATGTAGCTCAACAGACTAAGGCTAGCGAAAGGGTAGTTTCCCAAAGAAATTACAGGCACGCTGATGTATTCATGTCACATAAATACTGTAACTAGGAAGCAATCTATTGAGTATAGCTAAAATCTTTAGTGTTTTAGATACAAGTCATTTGATCCTTCAACAGTGCTGTGAACGATCCCCTGGGCCTGTTGTGTCAGCTCCACCCCTGGGGCATGCTGAGACAGCAACTGAGACTGGGTGTGGTGGCGCACCTGTAGTCTCAGCTCTTGGGAGGCTGTAAATAGGCGGATCACTATGAGTTGGATCTAGTAGTGAGACCCTGAACACCCTGTAGACCCTCCCCTAAAAAAAAAAAATACAAAACAAAAAGCCAGTGCTATGAGGATGCAAAGGTCACACCATGTTTTATAGACAGAAAACTCAGCAAAGGATGGGGCTAGGGTTGAAAGCCATGTGAGTACTTCTTTAGAACTCTATAGTTCATGGCAACTTTCATACACGAATAAAGAGCCCACTTTTATTAATGGCCTTAGAGGTAAAATGCTGGCCTGGCCTAACAGCGCTACCCATAAAAGAATACCACTTATGACTGTGGTTACAGAAACATGCTACCACATTAAGAAGTCATTCTAACCCATTTTCCTTATAGGCAACACCCCCTCCCCACCCTCCCCACTTCTTTACTTTCTCAGCACAAGACCATGGGTGTTTAGGGCCAGGCCATCTATTGACTAGAAGAGTGAAACAGGAAGTATTCTGGATAAGCTACAGGAAAAAAATAGCTATCGGCCTGTGAGTATGCTCTGTTCCCTAGATTGGAGCACAACCCTCTCTTCTAGTTAATTAAAGGCTCAGCTCAGGTGACAGTTGACAGAGGAACTCCCCTGAGCCGTTCTCTGTCCAGGTGTCTCACTCTGGTGCCCTGTCATGGTTCCCATAAGCCCCCGGCACTTCACTGTAACAGCGCTCACCCTCTGTTTTATAATTTTCAGCGTTCTTCCATTTCTCCACACCCGACAGCAAGCTCGCTGAGCACCCCGAGTCATATTTCTCTATATCTCTGGTACTTAGACCCACACAGTAGTCCTTCAACAGACACATTTTTTAGAAACAAATGTACAAGTACTTCGACTCACAGAGGCCATCCGAGCATTTTTTTGGACTTGGCTGACTTTTTTGCAGCTAACTGGAGGGTTTCATGGCTTCAAACTACAAAATATCTCTGACCTTTGAGGAAAACAGAAGTGGAAAGAGCTAGGCCTGGGCCTAGTTTCTCTGTATACTGAGTGGTCATATCTGGTCACTTCTCCCCTAACATCTTCCATGGATACTTCAGGAACCAGCTAATGCTAGGAAGACACAGATTATGTAATGCTGTCTGTTTCCGTAGTATACAACTTCAGCGTCACTTAGAACAGAGCTAGTAATGGGTGTAGATAGCAGGTGTTGACATTGTGTTAATGAAGGACAAGTCCAACATAATTAAAAAAATACAAGTAACTTTTACATGGCAATACATGAGTGGATCTCTGGAGTGGACCTATAAATCTGAAATCTGTAGGAGCAAGTTTTATCTTATTAATAATTTCGTAATTCAAATCTCCTAATGTATTAATTTATATGGATTTGTAAAAGGGAAATCACCGCTTTATCTGTCATTTTGGGATCTTGTCTATACCTTTGATCAAAGCCTCCCTACACTTTGAAAATGAAATAATTCTCTTTATAGACTCTCTGGAATGAATTCTCCTGTGTTATACATGATTACACATACATACACACACACTCCCTGTCTGGTTTCTGCTGATTGCTGTCAGGTGGACCAGTCTGTGAGTTCACCCGCCTATGACTGAGTCACCCCCTGAAATCTGACCTTAACTTTTCAAAGTACCAGTCTCTTCATACAATTTTCATTAATTATAAATGTAATACAAATAGAGCACATTTGGAAAATCCTACGCTAATACCAACATCTTTAGCAGCTATAATCTTTTTCAAATATCCTTTTACTAGCGTATTTTTATGTACTTTCAATCATAATTACTAAATTTGCAACTTGCTGTTTTTAAAACAGTACCGATTCTTTAAAAATTCAGCCTTTTGTCTAGCAATGTGTGCATGAAACCGTTCTGATGCTGGTGTAAGAGTATAATAACGGGTGACATTATGAATGGCTCCAGAATTGCAGACTGCACATCTGCAATGATCCCTAATTTAAATGATGACGATTTTACTCTCATGAAAGAAAAACAAATTTGGAAAAACAGGCAAGGGCAAGAAAAATACATAGATTTCTCCACCAGCTATGAGAGCAAACTGTTAATGCCACATTTGTCAAGTAGGGTATGACAGATTTCACAACTGCTACTTCTTACGGTTAAAAATTTGGTCTCAAACTAGGTAACATTTACTTTCAGAACTTGCTCTTTCAGAGTCAATATTTATTTCCTGTGAACTCATGGAAAATACTGACCTCCACAGTAGCAAGTGTGTTTCTTCGGCTCAGTCTCAGTATTAGAGGCAGATTCATAAAACTGGCACCTCTCAGACATCAGGAAGGCAGGGAGCTTCTGACATCCAGTCTTCACAAGTGTCCAGCACAAATCTCACGTTGGAATGGGTACTCCAAGAGGTGGCCCTGACATTTCTGGCAAAGCAGAATCAATGACAATGACTCTTTTTGTCCTGCGGTAGGAAGAATGTGGAGTTTCTAGAGCTCTGTAGGCTGAAATGTAATCACAAATTCTAACATCGAACACGAAGATTTCTGCTTGACTTTTTTTTTTTTTTCTAATCTAAGGGTTTTTTTTTATTTTTTTTTCCCCCTACCTCTGCCATCTCAAGACCTCCTCTCCAATTCCCAGTATCAATAAGGTCAGGTATAGATAATGATAACTGAATGTTAAAGAGTAAAAATAATCTGAAAGGAAATGGGATGCAAGAGTATATGTTGTATTGCTAAGAAACCTCCGGGTTTAAGGATCTTCTCTATATGGATAACCGAATCGACTCATTTTTTTAATGGCTGAATTAAACCGTAGAGTCTCCACGGGTTTACCATTCCCGTTTCTCACGGCAGCAGTAGTGGCACGTGAGGATGACAGGAGAAGGTGCTCCAGCTACTGGATCACGGGGAGCCTTCCACCACCGGGGTAACTGGACTCCGCAGAAAGGAACCGAACCGAAAGGACAAGGTTGCCATTTTACTCTTAACACAGGCGCCGGCACGTGCCCGGCGCTATCTGCCATCCCCGGCCCAGGTGCCCACCCACGTGTGCCGGGCTGCGCACAAGTTCGAGACCCCGTGACCCAACCCCGGGGTCCGACGTTTTAGAACTAGGTACTAGTACGGGGAGAAAGCGGCGCGACTCTGCACCCCGAGAACCGCGGGCT